CCCAGGTTGCTCAGAAGGAAGGAAATACCTTCTGCATATTGAACAAGAAGGGGTTGGCAGTGCAAAAGCCGTTGCATTGCCATGGGCAGTGCTGCAGAAATCGGGGACACGTGGAGTGGCACCGCCCAGGACTCCCGGCACTGCCTGCAGGGATGTGTCACCCCAGGAGCACAGTGCCTTCCCAAGGTCACTGGAGCCATCTCCCTGGCTGTCAGGGATCCCTCAGGCCGTGCCAGCTTTGTGTGGGAGCAGGCAGCCTGGCAGTGGCCACAGACCCCAGCCTGGATGCTGCTGACCAGGCAGAGGCACAGACAGCGAACGCTTGGAGGAGCAACGAGTAGAGGCTGGAGCTGAGCCTGAGCCAGGAGGAGCACGTCCCAAATGCTGCCAAGGAATGTCCCATGACGTGATTCCAGCTGAGGAGGAGGGAAGGTGTGTGGGACCAGGCTCTGGAGATACCATCACTGCCATGAGCTCATGCGTTCACACCTCAGAGCCTGTGAGAGCCTGGTGAGACTGAGGGCAGCAGAGCCTGGCCCCAGCTCTGCCCTTCCTGCATCCCAGGCTGTGCATGGCCCACTTCTCTTCCTGTCGGTGTAGTGTTAGCAAGCTGATAGCGTGCTACTCATGCTTGTCCAGATGGTCAGCACAATTTATGGAGCTGAGCCACTGTTTAACCATCTTTCCCCATTCTGAGAGGGTGACCAAAGGCAGGAAAGGCTTTCTGCAAGGAATGGCTCAATGTGCTGAATCTCTTGAGCCATAGAAGAGTTAACCAAAGGCTGGCATGAGTGTAAAATCACGAGTGCCATGGAAAAGGTGAGTGAGGACAGGTGGTGGGTAGTGGCTCTTCCCATGAAGGGATGGAGGAGGGGAGGAAGCCAAAGGAAGATGTAGGAGAGAATTTTAAAGCACAGCACCTATCTCATTACCCAGTGGAGTCACATGAGGAGTGCCTTGTCACAGGACAATGAGTATTGAGCAGCTTTCTAGGTTAACAAGTCAATGGGGGAAAAAAATACTGGGTAACAAAAAGGCCATTTCTGGATTCAGGAGCCTCTGACCTCCAAAGTGCCACAGCTGGGAAAACACTTTGGTGAGGTAGAACACGCTCAGCCTGTTCGTGTGCTTTCCCTAGGCAGCCACCATTAGTCACTGTCAAAGACAGGACAGTGGGCCAGGCAGCTGACAGACAGATCCTTTTCATGGGCACAAAGGGTGACTCACAGCCCAGGGAAGGCTCCAGTGCGGGCACCTCCTCCCCTGGCGTCCCGCAGCGTGAAACCCGCGCTGTCACAGCATGGCAGGTTGGAGCTTGTGTCTGCTGCCAGGATCAAGCCAACCGCCTGTGGTGAATGTCCCTTCCAGGTAGTGTGGGAACTGTTTTTTTAGTGCTCCAAAACCTCTCCTCAGTGCTCCTTCCCCTCCTTGGCTCTGAGTGTGCAGTCTGTTACAGAGGCTGCAAATCCTCTCCTGATCTGACCTGGCAATATGCAATAGCACTGCTCATCTAAACATATTGAACTGTCCAAAAATGCCCCACATCTGAACTCAAAAAATCAGGCAGAAACACATATTTTATAGGTTTAACCCCATTACATTAGAGGGGTGTATGTGCATAAAAGCTTTGGTGTGATCCATAATTTTGCCATCTTGGTTTTCATCTCAAAAGCCTGGTAGTAAGCTTTGGTTTTTAAGTTAAAGGAAATTTTCCCAGCTGCAATCTCTAACACTAAAATGATGTAAAAAAAAAACATCTGCCATAGAAGACTTCATTAAATTTCAACCACCAGCAGCCTAAAGAACAAGCAAATTGCTCAGCATTGACCAAAGGATGAGCACTACCCAAACAAGGGATGGAAAAAATGACATCTGCTGTTTCAGTAGAAAGGTGCATGTGTGTGCCAATGGAAACAGACACTGAAGAGATGCAGTCAGACATCCAGTCAGCTCAGTGAGGACCCATTCCCTCCTTGAAGACATCCTAGAAAATCCATGATTGTTTCCAGGCAGGTATTGAGGCGTTTCCCTGAAATCAAAGCATTGAGACTCATTATCAGCACAAGTGTTGTAATCTCCCTCTCACACTCACTTCTTACTTTTTGGGCTGGTTTTGCAGTGACAACATGAGGCCTTCAGGAAGAGGCAGGATCCTGCCTATGTCAAGTCTGGGATACTTGAAACTGTAGTTCAGGATATGCCAAATGACATGGTCAGTCTCTTCTTGTCATGATGAGAGCAGAACCTGCCCCATGCTTGGAAATCACATCTCACGTCAGCTCAGCCACTTTGTAAATGCTTCACCCACTGTCAGGAGTTAACAGCTGGTGGCTAAGAGGGCACCAACAAGGTACATAACAAATCTGACACTTGCCAACACCCCACCTAATCCTTTTTGGCTACAAGAGCTTGTGAAGAGACAAAGTGTGCTGACACAGGGCAGGTCAGTCGATCATAGCTCCAAATGTGAACATTTACTGAGATCTGTATGTGGCTCTAAGTGCCCTCTTAATTCTCATCAATGGGGAAAAAAGTTCCCTTGCCTAGAGTTTTTAGTGCAACAGGTAGCAATGAGAAAAATTTTGCAATGAGTGGTAAAAAATCTCTTAAGAACAACTTCCCCTTGGAAAGAAGAGAATTAAATATAGCTAATCATGGGCAAATGTGCCACCCCCACCCTCCCATCAGTGTGTGAGTTACAGAGCAGCAAGGTGTTCTGTGGGCAAGGAAACGTGAGAGAGCCCTAAAATGTAAACTCAGTTTGGACATAAATGAGAGCTGTACAAGATAACCAGGTTCTGAAATGCAGGGAGGACTAATCTGTGCATCCAGGGAATCCTGTGCAACTAGCACACAAAACAAAAGGGAAAAAATGGAAATTAATAGAATTCTTCACAGGTAGAATAAAACAATGACATTTGATATAGTAACAAGCTAATCCCACCACTTGATAGGCACCAGTTTGGTGGCACATGGTGGGGAACATTCCTGAAGAGCAAGTGGGTACAGGTCACACATTTCGAATGTGGTTGGGAAAACATGCTTACCTGATGATTACTGCACATTTTCTAGATATTTGACTCATCATCTTTTCAGTGTGTTATTTCAAGAAATACATACAAAGGCTCATGAGGTAGTTTGAAATTTGGGGAAAAGTGAAGTCTCTGTAAATGCAGCCAAGCTGACAGAAGGAAACAAAGCTTTGTGTTACCTCTAGGAGCAGGATGTACAGGTCTGCAAGCTGCTTGTGAAGGTGGCACCAGCACGGAGTAGCTGAAAACTTGAAAAATACTTTTTTATCGTTCTGACACCTACACACTCTGAGATAATTTATTTCAGGTCAAAGTCTTGCCAAATCTTGGTTCAAAGAGTAGACAGTGCACATCTCTGAAAGGTGTGGAAAAACAACTGAATTTAAACCATTTTCACAGTGGCAGCTTCCAAGTGAAGAGCAGGAACATTTATCTATTTGTTTGCAATTGTGTCCCCTCCATTGCAAAACTGGGGTTTTTCCAGTGTTATCTTTTTAAGGGACACCTTTCTGTGTATCCTTCCTGTTATTCAACTGTTATCTACCCTAGTAAATGTATTTTCTTATGGATATATTTCAGGTCTTGGAGCCCAGGTATCTGCTCCATAAAGAATCATTTTGCCATTCATCTTATACATCACATCAGGCTCTGTATTTAAACTAGCTCTGTTTCTGTTCTCAGCTCTTCCACAGAAGTACTGTGGGATGGGCAGGAATCATTTCCCAACTTTCACAATACACAATACATTTATTCACAGCCATTCTTGGGCCAGCATCATCTGTTATCAGTTGTGGTGTCTCACACCCACCTGCATTTTTTCCTACCCTGACACATATTTAAGTGTCCACATCATCAGGCAGCCTTCACCTGTGGCAGATGGATGCACTGGGACACTGAACCATGTGCCTGCTCCTACAGACACAGCATGAACTCCAGGCTGTCCTGGAAGCAGCACAGCCATGAACACGGTGCTACAGCCACGCTACTTGAGCAGCTCCCCTTCAGCTAAAATCCAGAAATAATTGGGCTGAGAAAGAAGGAATAAGGCTCAATGGCCATGGGCTCACATCTCTTAATTTCCAGGCAAGCTTGGACAGATTCTGGTAGTTATGGGAGAGATGACGCCCGTGCTTCCCTCCTCTGGGGACTCTGTTTCCCAGGAGTTTCTCCCAGGGGTGTAGGAGGCCACCTGTGAGCAGGGCAGCACCCTTCCAGTGGGGTGAGGATGCCTTTGTTGAGACAGGCTTTTCCTCACTAATTCAGAGCCTGCCTGCAGCTCTCCTAATTAATGCTGTGCCTGCCTCCATCGAGCCTGACACAGGGATTGAGTCAGGGAAATATTTATGCACCAAAGCCCTGTCTGCTCTAACTCTTCAAGGCACATTCCTGATCTGGAGCCACTCTGTCCCATTACGTGAGGCTGCTCCCAGCACAGGGACAGCCCTGGGGAGACCAGCCCTGTGCTGGCGTCACGTCTCCCTTCCTCCACCTCTGCTGCTTTTCCAAAGCATGCACTGTGTCCCCAACAAAAAATGAGCAATAACAGCTTTAAACTAACAAATGGGGGCATTTCTCCTGGAATATGGAAAGCAACCTAACCAGGATGCAGTTCAATGTTGTGCATTATCCAGGATGAATATTCATTGCATGGCAAATGTGCAAGCTCTGCTTGAAGTATACACACACTCCTCATAGTGATGTTTCCAGCCAGAATGAACCCTCATTTTCCAGTATCAGCCATTTGACACAGGGACTGTATTGACTTGCTCGTGGATTTAACAAAAGGAATTACCTGGAATGCTTGTGGGCGTTGTGTGAATGAGGACTGTCCCCCTACGCTTACAGTCTGAACTTTAATGGGAGTGAACCAGACAACTGATGCCAGTCTACAGCACAGTGCAAGAGGACAAAGCATAAAGGCAGATTTTCTTTATTTTTAAATATTAGTAACACTGCACAAAAAAAAAAAAAAGTGGTACTCAAGTGACAGAAAACCAGTACTCAGTCCTTATTTAATTTTAACCATAATTTACAGACCCTAAGAGAGTTCACAAATGATTATTGTGTGTTATATGGTGCCTGCAGAGGGTTACATTGGGTAATTGAAGCTAAACCATTCAGATACCAGAGACACCAGAATTTGTTATATCAAACCATGCCAGAATGCAGACTTTGGCTTTTCTGTTTAGCTCCTCTCTTACACCATCATTATGTGCATTCCTGCATCTTTGAAACGTTAGGATGAGTGAGTTTCTCCAGGAACTGTGGACTTTCAATATTGCCAGGTTTAAGGCTGTTACATCAACAACATATTGGCAAGAGGAAGACAAAAGAAACAAAACAGAACCATAAGCTGCTAACTCCTACCTGGAGGTTAAAAAAGGAGACAACACATTGACAAGAAACATGCAGGTGAATGCTTAAGGCAACAACAGAGGGGCTCTGTACACACTAAAAGGTTAAGAGAAGCAATGTGTCATGCACATGAGACGAGTATGGGAAGCAAGGAAGTCATCTTGCCAGGAAATATGTATTTCTTTTAAATCTAAGACATCTTTTCAAGCTAAAAAAAAAAAAATAGTCCTGCAATAAAACCGATGCAAAATGCTTTCATACATAAAGGTATAAGTTCTTTGCAGAACAAGTTGATAAAATCTAAAACGGATGCTGAAAAAATGTTTGTTATCTAAAACCTACTCAGGAGAAACAAAGAGCAGTTTTAAAGTAGCACTTGGATCATTTGTCTCTAGGTTCTGAAAATAAACTTTTAAAACAAGGAATGATTTCACTAAATGATTCATCAGGTGTCAACTAAGCCTAAAGAAATCAGTAGGAGTGCTTACAGGAGACCATCATTACTTAAAATCAGAAAATATAACTTCAAGATGCAATTTAATATGAGGGAACATTTTAATAGGGACAGAACTGCCCAGCCTGGGGGAAAAAACCCAAAAACCCAACCATAAAAGTCACTTATTAATCTTACATAAATTACCCTATAAGAGCTCATGTCTCAGTCCCACTCCCAACAACATGAGTGAACAGGACTCTTCTTTCAACAGGCCTGATTTGATGCCAGTGACCAAACAAGCAGGCATTTGCCTTTTATATCCTACAAGACAAATAACAAACACTAGGCTAGAGTTGCCTTAGTCCCAGGGAAGGAAGAGGTAAGAAATTCTGTAACTCTTTCCAATCTTCCAACATGACACAGTCTAACCACGACCTGCCTCGTCTGAATTCCCCAACCTGAACGGGCAAGAAAGCCACTCCGTGAAACTAAAAGGAATAACATAGTGCAATTTTAGTACAGTTTTAAACATGAGTCACTTCCTTGGTAGCAGTGTGAACAATCAAAAAATATACACAAAAAAGAGGTGTGCTCGAAGGTACATGAAGTTGTTGTCATTATTTTAAAGGTATTGGCATAGCAGAGAAGTCCATTTTAGTAACTCGCTTTGGTTGACTTCTTCTTCTTCAGTTCCTCTCTCTGCTTCTGCTTCCTCCTCTTGCTGCCTTCTTTGTATCCTGAGGAAACATGGCTTGTAAAACACTTTTCACAGCATTCATAGACTTTTCTCTCTAGCAAAAGCACATGTTCTCTGAATGGTTTAAAGAATATTAAAGAAAAGGTCTGGCTTCCTAATGTGTTGTTTGGTTTTTTTTTTAAATTGCCATTTCCACTATATCCCCCGTTCTACTGTATCCCTTACATAGGATAGAAAGAAAATACTACCAATCTTTGAAGTTTTAAAAGATCTGGAGAACTTTCAAAATACTTCAAAGCCATTCAGGAAAAGCTTCAAAATTAGAGCACATGCAAAACCAGAATAATTTTCAAAAAGGAAGCAATAAATAAGACTTATGCAGCAGGAGCAATTTAAGTACTGGCATTTCCTGCTCACAGTAGTCAGAGTTACCACTATATTTGCATTTCCATTTTAAGACTAGGGAATGCCAAGAATCCTGAGTAAATAAGAAGGTGCTCAGTGTTTACCAATATATATTTTATATGCTGGTCATCAGCCTGCTCATGCTTAACTAGGCACCACAGGTTATATTCGACTGCAGCCCCAATGGTGCATGAAAGCATTGAGTTCAAGCAACAATTATTTGCTACAGGTTCAGTAGGCACAAGCTTCCAGCCATGTGATCATCATTCCAATGGTTTATTACCCCCACAGAGATGTGTGTAAAACAGGTCTTGCTCAGCCTCACACCTTTTCCTCCAAACTTGCAGTAAAATCAACTTGCTGGCAGACTTGCACGGGCAGTGAACTGTGTGAGCCACCACATCTACCCAGGTGCACTCATAAATCTAAACTGAGAGCCAGTAAACATTTCCCTCAGACAATCACTCTGTGATGTTTTGAGGCAGCTGGAGGGATCTTTCAGCTCAGTGGTGCTCTGTCACTGGAAATCAGCACAGTCCAGTGGCCAGGGCAGGCACAGAGCAGAGCAGCCCCTGCAATCCGGCTGAGAGGCAGGGCTGGGAGTCAGAGGAATGGCTCTGAGGAAAGGCACAGCTCTGCCTCTATGGAAATCTCTTTTTTTCCTCTGTCCTGTCAGTAGGCAGGCAGAGATGGCCCCAAGGGAGCAGTTTCACCAGTGCACCTGGTTCTTCATCAATTTTTCAATAGCAAAATTAAGATAGGAAAAGGAAGTGGTGGGAGGCCGGGGGAGTACAAAGCCACACTGTGGCTGCAGTTTGCTCCTCACCAGAGCTCCTCCCAAGCACAGTTAGAGATGTGCCCACAGCAGAGCTGAAGTTCTTCAGTTTAAGGTTAAGACTTGGGGAGAAGCACAAGCTAAGTCTTTTGGCTAAAACCATTTGAGACATTACCAAAAGCTTAGAGGAAATACACTCAGTTGTAGCAACGGGAAACTGTTCTAGGTTATCACTCTAGCTCCTGTGCTGTACCCACAGCATGACTTCATCTTTTGTAATTACCTGAGTCAAGGGGCAGGATATTTATTTAGAAATTGTGCCATGAGCGATCAGCCTGCACAAAGTTAGAGTGGAAACCAGTTTTCTTGTTTAAGGAAGAGAGGAACTGGTGGTGCTTAGCAGAATTGCAGATGACACTGGGTTTTCCCTGCACTCTGTCACCCCCTGAGCTAAATTCCTGTCCCTGTTCAGTGTGTGAACATCTCCTCACTAGGAACTCCATCCAGGAAGTTTCCTTCCACGTCAGCCCCTTGGTCACCTGCACATCACCAAAAATAGGATTCTTTTGCATTCAATTCACTGAGTAAGGCACCCATCCCTGAAGGACTCAAGCATTTCCCTGCTTTCCCACAAAGGAGGAGGAAAAGATGTCCTGACTCCTGAGAATCAGCCATCTGGGGGTGTTATTCAGAGGATTCCTCCCTTTACTGGAAGGAAAACCAGCATCATATCAGTTGATCAGAACTAGCTCACGTAATAACTATGAAACAATCACACAGATATTTGGGAAAGGATCATTAAACTCTAGCAGGTACTAGCTTCATAATTTGTTTCATTTTTCATTCTCAAAACAGTGTCAGTGTTTCTAAAAGGTTTCCACAATCAGGCATGATAGCATTTGATGCTGCTATTTTATATCATAATACTATTTTTTTCCATTTTCTTCAAATGCTTGAGATTTTGAAAGCAATTCTAGCAACTGTTTCTTAAAAATACTGAGTCAATGTAAATTATGACTTGAAGTGAATACCACATAATTTATTGTCTTATAAATGAAACAACTCAAATGTTAAAATATTGTGGTATGAAGATATTTAGGCATTTGACAACATGGCCTCCTACCAGCCTCTGGCTTGATAAGGCTGAAAAGTGGAAATCTTTCAAGCGTTATCACTGACACACAGAAAGAGATTGCCCAAAGTAGGAGATAACACACAAACACAGAGTATTCCTCAAGAGAAAACTGCCAGGTCTTTTCTGTTTTGAGCCTGCTGTGATAAATAATTTCACTGTCTGCCATTTCCTTTTCTACCCCCACCTAAGAAGAGAGGATAGGTCAAACTTTGCCAGTCTGTTGGTCCAGCGATGCTGGGTGATAACAGCCAAAAACCTGATCCAAACAAGTGAAGCAGCTCCTAACATAAATAAGAATTGCACACTAAAGATGTAACCCTTCAGTGTCTATTTCACTCCAATACTTCAACCAGCACTAATTAAAAGTATATTTAGCTGCCTTGGTTACAAGACTAGCCCTAAAGTCATGAGACAATAAAATCTGAATTAGAAAGCAGCAGCCCCGTGACTGATCAGTCTGCAGTGAGCCTGGAGAGTCGCCAGCATCCCAAAGTGTCCATAGAAACTTCCCATAGTAAGTGCCAGGCTGAACTGGCTCCAGCCAAACTGTGCTGGCCTTGGAGAAGGCTGCTCACATCTCCACCCTCAGCAGCAATCTCTAAACCACCCAAGCTCTAGAAATGCCTCATGGGGCAGAGGGAGAACAGGTCACCAAGAGCTTCACCAAGCTGTGACGTTTGGAAAACAGAGTCACTCAAATGCAGATAGAAATCTCCCTAAGTTGGCATTTCTTGCTTTTGTCAGCTGCCAGGGGCAGAGATGGGTGAAGCAAAAATCCACACCATTTGGAATTACACCTGCTTTACTGCTTGGATAATTCTTGTCTAAAACAAACAGCATCAGCTAACCCACTCCTTCCATGTCATCCCCTTCTCTTCTGCTTCAGGAAGAGCCATAAGGAGCACGTTCAGGAGCTATTCCAGCTTTCATGAAGCTGCTGAAGGCTGAAAACAACTTCCAGAAACACTTAGGTGCAACTCCTTCAACCATCACTGAGCAAGGACCCAAACAAACTGGAAGACTTCTCTGCTGTGTCCCAGATTGACTTTCCTTCTGGCTTTCTACTTCTCTGCCATCTGCACCTCCCAAAGTCAAGAGTTGGTTCAGTCACTGGCTGTGAAACTCATCACATTCCTGGGTGGCAGCTGCAAGGGAGGCGAGCACATTGGCCAGCCCAAGTGTCCTGGGGAAGACACTCCTACCCAGTGCATTTCTGGTATCCTGCTTCTTCCTGCCCTGCCCGACATCTGCCTGCCCTACCAGGATGCACAGAGTGGCCATGGGTCTGCTCCACCTTCCTTGTGCCAGCACAGAGCAGCATAGGAGTGAACAGAAGGAAACAAGGTGCTCAGTCACAGCTGACAATGAACACCCAGCATTGCTGCTGCTTGACCCACACCAGTGAGCAATAAAGGCACAATTTTTATAGAGGATTTGCCAGGGTGAAGACTTTGGAGGAGCCTCCTTCCAATTTCAGAGTGAAACATTGAGGCTGGGGTTGGGAGAGATTCACAATTTCTGCTTAAGTTCCAAAGAAAATGTTCTCCAAGATCTACCAACTTTTTGCCAAGATTGTGGCCTCCTTTCAAAGCATGGAAGCAGCCAAGGCCCCAACACCCACAGAGCTTTAAAAGGGCAGTGAGGCACTTTCAAGCTGGGTTCTGTAGTGCTCTTTCTAATTTTCTGATCTTAGAAACCTCTCTCTAGTCAAAACAATAAACTGCTATTTCAAAGGCAGCTGGCTTACTTCTGAATTGCAGCCACCCTCTGTTATTTTATACTGACCAGACTCACACAGGCCATTGTAAAAATTCACCCCAGATCAGAGCTTGAGTATAATTTCATGTGTGACTCAATTTGCAATTACAGCTTTGCACTTTCACATCCCCTCCCCTCAGCCTGAGCCACTGCCCAGCACACAGCACAGCCTGACCTACTAATTCGTCCCCTCACGCACAGCTCCTGCCTGTGCCACGGAGCATCCTGGAGAGGGAGCCTTCAGTCAAGGCCTGGGGTGGCAAAACATCCCACCCTGTCTAGGTATGCTGCTCCACTGTTCAGTTATCCACGCTGTCAAATCCAAGGGGTGAGTTCAGTTTCACTGGCCAACCTGGTGATGTAATCCCAGCTTTGATGTTTTAGGGGACTGAAAAGCTTTAGCAGCTTGCAGGGGCCTTGCTCTTCCTGCTTGCTCACCACACCATTTTCTTTACCAATTCTGCCTAGAACTGCCACAAGAACAAACCAAGCCAGATACCACCTGTTTGCCTCCTGTTAATTAGGATAACACAGGCACTGAATGGATTTCCAAGGTTTTACTCCCAAATGGCAAGCAAAAGCTTGCAAGGCTCTGCAGCCATGGAAGCCTTTCCACACACAGCCCAGCTGCCTTTGATGGGTAACAAGATAATGCATGGATAACAAGATGATTTTGCACCAGCAGCCAAAACACCATGAGTGAAGGCAGCTCTGGGCTAAATGTGGGGGCAGCCAGGCAGTCTCCAAATCCACCAGCCAGGCTCCAAATCCACCAGGCAGGCTCCAATTCCACCAGCCAGCCTTCCCAGCCCTGCCCCACACGGGTACAGCTGTTATCCCATCCCACTTGCACAGTTACAGCCAGGGGATGTGGGGCAAAGGGAGGGAAAACTCCATCTCTGCACCTCCTCATGTATTAGACTTCCACAAAAATCAGTGGCTTTGCTTTCCTTTCTCTTTCCATTACATGCCCAAAAGGAAGTTTGTGATGGAATTATAAAGTAATTAGTTTGGATAACAAAGCACATCACTGTTACTAGTTAGTAAAGTGTAATTCAGGAAACTGCACATTGGTAAAAGGAACAGAGACTGAATTAAAGATGAAATGAACTACAAACAGCTCAACTTTCCAGCAGAGGAAACCATGCCAGGAAAGGATCAAGATTAGTTAAGCTAGTTCTTTTAGAGTGGTTTCCTCTTCACAGATGCCAGCAGATGAAAATGCAGCAAAAAGTGACTTATTAATGTTGTAAGTTGTAGGTTAATGCAAGCTATTTCTTTGAAAAGGAAGAGCAAACCTTGCAATATTATCTTCCAAATAATGAAATTTGTGTCATATTTTTTTGATTATATTAACAATTAAACATTTCAATCATTCTTGCTGGATAAAGGTGAAAACTCTCAAATCCAAAGCAGCAGTTTTTAAGGGGTAGTTACCACTACCTCTGGCATTAAGAGCTGCCATCCCCAGGTCTCTGCTGGCATTAGCACCACTTTGCACAGTCAGCTGTATATCACACTATTAAGGAGCACATCAATTGCAGTGTCTGAATTCTTATTTCAAAAATTCCTTTTTGGAGCTAGAGAACTGTTTGATATATGCAGCAACTTCAGAGCACAAGAGGTGAAGTTTTATTCTAAAAGGCCATTATGAAACCAAGAACAGTTTCCAGAGCAATTTCTACCAAAACACAAAGCATCCATGGTAGATGGAGAATTAAATTAAACTCTCAATTTTTTAGTTAAATATCCACTGTGATAACTGGCAATCCTGACTAAGGAGAGGATTCATCTCACCTCTGGATATTGCCAGTCTAAAGGAGCTGGCCAGCCTTTCCTCTTGGGCACTAGAGAGATGCCACTTCCAGAGGGATTCCCACCACATAGTCAAGATTAAACCTATCCCCTTCTCCTTCATTTAAATTTCCTACAGACTTACAAATCAAAACTCAAACAGTCCCGTTCCTAGAGCTGGGAAAAGAAAACCACTTCACTGCAGGTGAATCATCAATGACTGAGGGTTCACTTGAGATGCTCCAACTGGGACAACACCTAAAACTGCTGCATGGCCCTGCTGTCAAGAACCCCACACTGGTGGTGGCAAAAACAACTGATTCAAGGTGGAACTGCACCTGGATTGAGGCCTTTGAACTCAGCTATTTCCCAGTGAGCTGGGAGGGCTTTGGAGCAAGGCAGAAAGGATGCCGTTCTCTCCCGCCGCCGGCCCGTGTAAGCACGGCAGTGATCGGTGAGGAGCCAAGCGAGCCGAGCGCTCTCTGGAATCACAGAGCTGTGCTGGTGAAGCTGCTGGCTGGGCAAGGCACTCAGCAGAGGTGAACACCCATGAAGGGAAATGGCTTTTCTGGCCAGGGCTCGTGCGCACACTCCCCAGGGAGGGATTGAGACACTCACGTAGGTTTTTATGACTGACTCGACCAGTCCTTCAGCAGCCCTGTCCATCAGAGGAACAGCAGGCAAAATATTTAAAGCAAAAGTAAAATCTTAGTCTTACTGCAATCAAGTTTTCACCCTGAGTCTGTTTTGGCAACTCACAATCTACTGGTAGAAGAGAGCATTTGTGATTGCACTAATACTTCTGGAAATTAATTTTAATTGCAAACTTGTGCGTCTTGGAGCATAAATAAATTCACAGCAGAAAGTCCTAAGCAATCTTAAAAATTGCTCCAAAAATTGCACAATGCGTGTCAAACTCAGCTGCGCCTTGGAATCCAATGCAAAATATTGTGATTGCAGAGACCCTTGTGTGTCCAAAGACAGAGCCAAGGTTTTGTTTTGCCAGCCACAGACACAGGAGACCAAACCTGTAGCCTTAGCATGGGAGGCTTCAGCCCAGAGGTTACATTCGGGCCTCTGTAACTTTTTGCCTTTTTTAAAAAAAAAAAAAAGAAAGTACTCAACTTGGTCATCTTTAAAGACACAAACAGCAACTTATCAGGAAGATATTAATCTAAATTGTTCTATTTTTTCAATGTGCCATCTATCATAATATCTTACGGTCTTCCATACAAAAGACATTGTTGGGTTTAAAGGCTCATAAACACATTGGAAGTTGGTATAGCACTGGGAGTACATGAGCACCTGTTTTGGGATACAGTGCATATTTTTCATGTGCTGTGTTTGCCCTGAGAAGCCTCATAGGCTCACACTTCCCAGAACTTCCTCTGATTTCACACTACTAAGAAGGGTCCTTGCTCTGGGCATCCAAGTAGAAAGGCATCTTTCACGTATCAGAAAAACCTGTGCTTGCAGTCCTGGATGATCTCTGACCACAGGTTCCAATTAAATCAAGTAATTACGAGGACTTCATTGTCCAAGATAGCCTCTGGACTACATTGCCAAAAAATTACAGACTGGAAATATATCAAAGGACTAATTACTTCCAAAAATAACCCGGACAATTGCCACGTTGCCACGTTTGCCTGAACGTTCTCAGCCTCCTCTATTAGGATCTAGCTGACTAAAACTGCAGCTTCCAGAAATAGTATCAACTTGCTGAACTTCTCCTTAGACAAGGAAGCCGAGCACAATTTAAGTAAATGAATGTGCAAAGTACTGTGATGAGTTAACCTCTAAAATGCCTTCACTTTTAACAACAAAGAGCACAGGCACTTCAGCAGCACAACAGTATTTGCCCTGGATCCTTAAATATCTCAGGGCGTTAGTGAATCTAGGCTAAATGGAAGATCAGAGCTAAAGCAGGATGAAGGCAAACAAGCTGCTGTTTATTATCTACCAGGGCACTAACATTAAGTCAACACACAGCACCAACTTCTTGCGTGGCTTTTTGCATTTGGCTTTTGACTATGTGATGGGTCCTTCTCTGCACCTTTCTCACCAACATGCTTGTGCACACCTGATAAATAAATAGGGGTCTCGAAGCTGCTCATAACCCGGCTCTTGTCCTGCTCTTCCAGCTCATCACTACTGTAATGTGCGAAGCGGGGCGAGCTGCCAGACTTGTGGGGCTTCAGCAGGCGCAGGTTGCTGGGCTGGGAGGGCAGCGCGTGTTGTCCTCTCCGTCTGCACTCCTCGGCAAAGGCTTCTTCATCTGCCTCCCCTGCAAAAGCAACAGAGGCAAGAAAGGTGAGCTGCACCCAGAGTGAATACATTTAGCCTGGAATAAAAGCCCTCAGAAATGGGCTGGGGTCACTAAGCTCATGTTTTGGATGTGGTTGGTCACGGACAATCCTGGGTGTCTGCGGACTGGGGAGTGTCTGGAGCAGAAAGCTCCATCAGTGGCACCCAAGAAAGTCCACTAGATATGGTGACTTGGGGGCCACTGTTCCCTTTTTCCCAAAGGGCAGGGTGAGGGAGCTGAGCACATGGCCCTGGACAGGATTTCTGTGCAGAGCTTGTCATCCCATCCCACCTCACCTGGACTGTCCTGCTCAAGGAAAAGGTAAAGGGAAAGGAGAGATCAATACCCAAGCTGGCTACAGGGGTGGTGGGACAAGAATTGAGCCAGCATGGGTTCAGAGGGGCCAGATGTTGGACATCACAGCTGGAAGGATGGTGGAGATGTGTGATGGAATACATGAGGACAAGAAATCATGTTGAAGCTGTGAGAGGTGAACACAGCCCAGAGGCAAGGCAGGCGCACACAGCACAGGCCAATGCACGCAATGGAAATAAAACCCAATGTTTGCAAAAACTGGTATGAAAGATGAGATACTCCTGTCATACTCATGCTGTGTTGCAGATGATACTTTCCTTTGCTGCAGAAACTGTAGCAGTACCATTGCTGCAAAGCAGAGAAATCAACTACGTAACACACACAAAACCCAGCAAAACCACACACTGGAAAACAAACAGATCCCAAAAAGTCAACAAAAGATGGTCAACAGGGAAAATAAGGGGGGCAGGGGGGAAAGACTTGGAACAAAGGTGTGTACCACATTCGTCTCTTAAAGGCTTTTTAAAGTTTCATTAGTTCAATTACTTAAGTACTTCTAATAGAGCTGATGAAACATGGCATCATTTTATTTTCATCAAAAGTGGTGTGTCATATTCTGGAAGTTTTTCCTGGGATGTGGCCGGCATCAGCTGCTCAGGGAGGGGTGTGTGCTCCCAGCTAATGCGTGTGCTCTTAGTTCATGGCTGGAAAATGCTTTGAAGATGAAGGAGGCTCCACGTACGCAGATCGGGACAGAGCAGGAACCCCCACTTTGTGTGTGCCCCTCCCAAACACAACGGGCTGCATTGTCTTTACCTTGTAATCCTACACGGGGAGATGCTTCTGAGGGCATGAGGAAAAGGAGGCAAGGTGTGTTTAAAGAGTCATTTCACGGTGCATTTCACAGAGGCCCTGCAGCAGAGGAGGACTCGAGCACACCATGGGCTGTGCTGGGGTGTCAGCAGAGGATGCTCCTTCCCGAGTGGTCAAATGCCCATCCCCACCCCAACACTGCTGCTTTTGTACCCTGGAATCCCCCACACTCCAAAGGCACAAGCAAACACCACAGAAACACCAGTGATGGCAAGACAAGGATCCTGCATTTAGTCTCTGCCTGCCTGCATCAGGCCAGTGTAAAACCCTGTGTAAGGTTCTCCTTGCAGTAGGAGAGGGCTGTGTGTGGTTCTTGCAGTAGGAGAGGGCTGTGTAAGGCTCTCCTTGCAGTAGGAGAGGGCTGTGTAAGGTTCTCCTTGAAGCAGGAGAGGCTGCCAGGGTGGCACCAGGACTTCAGCTACAAGAGTCAGGGGGCAAGGAAAAGCTCAGGGAAGGCCAGATGCAGAATTGCCATCATTACCCATAAGAGGTTACAGGATTTTACACTCTATACAAACAACACTGCAGAAGGTATCAGGCTGATGATACCTATGAAGATAAGCCCATAAAATGCCAAGACTAAGAAAAGAAAGCACATGGAACCTGTTTACATCAGCTGCACATACAAAAACCAGTCAAGAGAGTTCACTTCCTAACAAATTACAGTGCACCAGAAATAAGAGATCCCTCCTCTCCCATGGAAACACAGTGCATGGATTTCTTTTTCATGTGCAAAGTCCTGCTTAATGTATGTTTAAAGTTTATATTCACAGATAGATGCAGGAATGGGAAAGATGCTGAGGCCACCCTTGAGGCTCTGGGTGTGTTTGTGCATCCCAGAGCCGTCCCAGCCAGGCACACTCACACAGCTCCTCAGCTCTGGGCTCAGGGAGCCAGCACAACCCCTGCAATCACAGAACTCTTCAGCTGGAAGGAGCCTTCAAAGCTCAGCTGGTCCAACCCTCCTGTAATAAACAGGGACATCTTCCTGTAATAAACAGGGACATCTCCCACTAGATCAGGGTGTCTCAGGGCCCCATCCAACCTGACCTTGAGTGTTTCCAGGGATGAGACACCCACCAGCTCCCTGGACAGCCTGTGCCAGTGTTTTACCACCCTCACTGCAAACATTTCATTGTTGTGTCTAAGTCAGCCCTCCTTCAGTTTAAAACCATTACCCTGTGTCCTGTCACTACAGGCCCTACTAAAAGGCCTGTCTCCATCTTTCTTATTAGCTCTCTTAAAGAATTTGAAAGGATTAAATCCATCCTGATCATCTAACAGAGTCCTTCAGTCTTCCATATCCCCAAAGCAAAGGCAAATTTTAGTACAATAAGTAGACCCCCAAAAAATTGCCCAAACTTTTCCCTCCTTATGAGTTGTGGGAAAGCAGGATGGCACCAGAAATTAGTTAAATAGTGCAACATCACATCAGCTGTGATTTAAATACTGAATTGACTGCAGTGGTATGCATGGCATGAGCTGTCAGATCTTCCTCTGACCATCCACCTTTAGCACACTTGACACAGCAAAACTAAAGTGGGATTTGCATCAACTGTTCTCTCCTGTTCTACATACTTGAAACATTTGAGCCAGAGAGAACCACTGCAAATAGAAAACTTGAACAGAATTTACTCTGGGAGAAGTCAGCCACAAAGGACATCACTGCCAAAAAGTGCTTAAATTCTGCAGGAGCTTTGTCAGCAGTGATGTTTGTCCTGGAAATGGCTTTTAGGAAGAGAGCAGGTATTGGGGATGGGGCTGGGTGTGGAATTCCTGAGTTCTGGGCAGGAATATCCACCCAAGGAGCACCTTCCAGGAGCGCTCAGGTTTCAAACAGCCCCCAGCTCCCCAACACCTCCTTCTTGCCATCCCCTGCTCCTCCACACCCACGTGAGAGCCTGGGCAGCCGGGCTGTGACCCCAACAGGGACTGAGCCAGGTTAAAAATAACCCTTTTTGCCAGCTTATTTTTAACCCAGCTCAGGGCCTGCAGCCAGCTCAGTGCAGCTGCCCCAGCTGGGGCAGGGAAGGGGGAAATTGTTGAGGACAGCTGGAATCAGCATCCAGGTTATGGTGTTAAGCAAAAGATCTTATTCTACTAATGCAAATAATAATAATTAAAAACCTAGCAGTTGCTTCACTTGCAAAACTAGTTTGGAGAAGTTACATTTCTAAGAGTTAGTTCTGAAAATTACTGATTTGGCAGTACCAGTAACATTTTAAAACAATAATTAAGATTTGGTTTTGTGCTGCAGCAGGTTCTCTGAAATGAACAGCAGCTTCCAGGGAAGAAAAAACCAAACAGGAGCTGCAGCATCCTAAAAAGCTGTGTTGGGGCTAACAGCTAGCAAGAAGGGCTGGGGAATAACTTTTCATAGCAAAGAAGAGCTGCATGGCAGTGGAAAACAGGGCTCCTTGGAGCTGGGATAAACCAGCAGAGGGCAATCTCGGCTGTCCCAGCGGAGCAGCCGCTGCCAGCCCGCACTTGGGCGGTCACACGGGGATTGTACAAACCTGTCACAAACCTGCACCAGGTCTGGGCTTAGGGGAGTCCCAGCTACACCAAAGGCTCTGTGCGTGATCCTGCAGATTCGTCTTAGCACAGTCTGGTGACTTATCTCAATAGAGCAGTGTCCTGGGGTGACTTTATGATGCTTGAATTCCCAATTGTCTGTTCTGTTTATGCTGTATTATATTCTATAATGCTATATTATATTCTATCTGCTATATTATATTCTGAGGATGACACACAGGAATATAAACAGTGGCAGAGACATGCAGGTGAGTGTGACCGTGTTCACAGGGGGTCTGAGGATGAGGGAAGAGATGAGGATCTGACTCCATGTTTCAGAAGGCTGATTTATTATTTTATGATATATATTACATTAAGACTATACTAAAAGAATAGAAGAAAGGAATTTATCAGGCTAGCTAATAATGACAGCAAAGGTTTGTGGCTCGGGCTCTGTGTCCAAGCCAGCTGACTGTGATTGGCCATTAATCAGAAACAACCACATGAGACCAATCACAGATGCACCTGTTGCATTCCACAGCAGCAGATAACCATTGTTTACATTTTGTTCCTGAGGCCTCTCAGCTTCTCAGGAGGGAAAAATCCTAAGGAAAGGATTTTCCATAAAAGGTGTCTGTGACAGGTGAGCTGGGACAGGTGAGTCCTGGAGCACTTCACAGTCCTGCACAGGCTACCATTATTATTTGTGTTACATTTAAGTAATGTCCCTGTATGTCCAGGAACCGAACTGAAATCCTAGCAGGAATCAGCAGTAATTAATGGCAGGACAGTAATGACAGAACTATGCTGAACAAACCAGGGTAAACATCCTGAGGACATGGAGCTGCTGATTTGCATTTACCAGCTCACTTCCCACACTGCTGCCTGCTGTGCTCTTACACACCACACCAAAGAAATACACCTGGAATCGGGGTTTTCCCCTCTATTACAAAATAAAAAGCAGGTGCAGCAGTTTGCTCAGGAAAGGAACACTTCCCTGAGGCCACAGGCACCAGAGAGCCCCTGGTGCCCCAGGCAGCATCAGGAGATGCAGCTGGTGAGGGACATGGGGCTGTGTCCAGGGACACCACAGCTGCCAGCTGAGCTCCTGCCCCCGGGTATTGGCTTGCAGGAAGCTTCCTCCACCCAAATCTTCTTTAAAGGATGGCCTGCAAAGTGTCTTTCTAATCCTTCAAGACTCTAAAGTTAAGGGGCAGTGTAAACTCAGAGCAAGGCATCATATTGCTGCTTCGGCCAGTCTGAGGCTCCCCTGAGCT